TTTAAAAAACTGGAAAATTCCCAAATTATAGTATAACTTAAGTAGTTATACTATTTAGTTATTTGAAGATAAAACTCCAAATGACAAACAGCACCATAAATTATGTAACACCATTAAAGGAACTTGTATATCGTGAGCTATAGCTTTATTTACACGTTTGAATAAGTCTGTGAAGATACAGAGAACAAATAAAAGCCTTTAGATGTTTGGTACCCTAGGTATCAGGCTGAGGCTTTCCGGTGTTCACTTCTTTCTCTTCTTTCACCGTAGCCCGCCCCCTCTCTCTAGGCTCGCGGCCGGCCCTGCCCGCGGGGAGGAGGGAGGAGGGAGTACCTGATCGACAGCGAATGTCTCCTTTCCTGCACCTGGTCGCCCAGCCACAGCTCCAGCGCGCCGTCGGCCGCCAAGTTCTGACATTTGTCGCGGCCGACAATGTTCGGGTAGACAAAGTCCGGCTCCCGGTTCCCGGCCAGGCCGGCCTTGATCACTCCCGAGCCGTTGTCGATCACCACTGGTAGCTGGTAGCAGTTCATGCCGCCGCCGCCGTCGCCGCCTGCTGTCCCTGGCTGCTCCTTCTTTGGGCTCTGCCAGGCCAGCGGCCTGGAACGCCGCGTCACAGAGGCCCTGCACCGCGCAGCCCTGTCGGAGCCCCGTGGCTGCGGGCCGCCGGTCCGGAGCGCGCCAGGCCCACGGACGGGTTCCCGCGGTGAGCCCCGCGGTGCAGCCTGCGACTGCCACTCCTCCGTTTCCTGGAATCGCGGAATACCAAAATACTAGGAAAAAAATCCTCAAAGATAGCAAATCTACCCCTTCACAGGTGCATTTCTCAACACTCTGAAAAACCACGAAAACAGATTGTTCCCCAAAGTCCTAGAATTCTACTTAACGCGTGTGCGTTTTAGAGTCCGCAGGAAACTCTGGAAGGCGCCCTGGAAACCGGGAAAGTTGTCGCAGCATGGGAGGCACTGTCCTGTATCTGAAAGGCTCAACTTTTAGGAAAAGAAAATTGCCGAGTTTTAGACACTTCATTGTTTCTGTGCACTGGGCAATGCTCCCTTGAATTTCTTGCCTGGGATTTCTAAAAATGTACGCAATTAAAACAAATTATCAAGCGGGTTGCGGACGCGGTCGCCTGAAGTTCCATTTCGGAGCCTGAGGGAGGAGGATCGCAGAAGTTCGAAACCAGCCTGAGCAAATTAGCAAGGCCCTGTCTATAAAAAGGGCCGGGGGTGTAGTTCAGTGATAGAGCGCCCGTGGGTCCAATCTCTACAGTGTTCCCCTCCAAAAACCAAACAACAAAACACTTCCTCCTTTTTCTTTTGGTTTGGTTTAAATAGCAATGTCTTCGCATTATATCCCTCGGTTTTTGGAAGCTTAGTCTTTATTCTTGATTTTTAGGCATAAGCATGCGTCTGCCTCTTTGTAGTTTAAGTGAGGTTCATACGCAGGTCATATGGAGAAAAAAAGTACATTGCGTATTCAAAAAACAAAGTACTTGGTGTCTGGTTTGGCACACCCTTTAGGGAATTTTACAAGTACACAAATTAGAAATTCTGGTTGGTCTTCAGGAGCGCTAAAAGGAAATCAAAACGGTATTTACACGTTCTTCCACGAGGCCGAAAGGTTCGCTTTGTCGCTGGCTGACTAAGAGCATTGGGGGTCGGAGAAGCGACCCGTCGCGGGCTTTGGAACGTGGGTATCCGCTCAGGGATCGCATTCCCAAAAAGAAAGCCCCAGGACGTGCCCGGGATTCTGAACAGCTTGATGCTCTGGAAGGGTGGGGATGGGTTTTTAAGTGTGCCCAAAGAACTGGCAATTAGCGGGTGCCTGAGTTTTACAGCGATCCCGAGAGCTCTGCAAGGAAATCAACTCAAATTCGAACTTTCGAAATACTTTGAGTACTGTTCAATTGAACATGTGGTTTTATTTTCTGGGTGATTGTTATTTTATATGTACATATTGTTGTCCATTAAATATTAAAACAATTCCGTTTCCTTTAGGTCAAACTGCATGTTGCCACATAGACTTCAGGGACTTTGAAGAGGCCCGCCAACAGCTCGGTTTCCGTAGTGTAGTGGTTATCACGTTCGCCTAACACGCGAAAGGTCCCCGGTTCGAAACCGGGCGGAAACAATAGCAAGCTCGGTTTTTTCTTTTTTTAAAAATCAGTAACAAAGCAAAGATGAAAAGTAAGTATCCACTTTTTCCATGCATGTGATTTTAATAACAACTCTGCAGAACTTTTGAGAGTCTGAACTTTTCAGTTTGGCGTTATTTGATTCATTCACCAAATGTTTTTGTAGGAGATTCGCCACGTGAAAGAACTGCCCCAGATTCTAAAAAATTGAATTTGTACTATATATAGTGTCATATTAAGTTTATAAGTATTTCTCAATAAATTATGGAAAATGGTTCTGACCCCTTCCTAATGGAATCAAGAAAAAAGATATAATTAAGACAGAACCAGTCTAAGATTTTTTTTTTCTTACAAAGCGGCTGTGGTTTTATTCACACATTTGATTCATACAAGAGGAAATCCATAGAGCAGGAAGAAGCTAGTAGAAAAAATCTCACGGAAAGAAGAGGAAATAATTCAAGTTGAGATTAACCTTCAAAATAAAGTCATAGGTTAAATTCCTTAAAGTCTTTTTATTGGTGCGGGTATTGGGGACTGAATCCAGGGATGCTTAGCCATCGAGCCACATCCCCAGCTCTTTTTAAAAATTTTGAGACCGGGTCTCACCTAGTTGCTAAGGGCCTCGCTAAGTTGCTGAGGTTGGCTTTGACCTCAGATCCTCCTGCCTTAGCCTCCAAAGCCGCTGTGATTACAGGCGTGCATAACAGCGCGGGCTGACTCAGAATTTTTTTACAAAAATATTCTATTAGTTATTGATGAACCTTTATTTATTTGATTACACATGGTGCTGAGATTGAACCCAGTGCCTCACACATGCGAGGCAAGCCCTGTACCACAAGATAAAATAAATATTTAAGTTGTAGTTTTGAGATTCATGATATCCACAGTTAATAGGAAAGAATCCACCCTAACACATCAGTAAGGCTCATTTTATTGTTCGATACTTTTGTATATTGTAGACATAATTGATAGCCTTTTCCCTAACTGTACTAACCCCAAACTCGAAGTAAATAATTGTATTAAAATTACTCGGGTCTAGACGTTGGAAAACCTTTTCCGGTATAAAGCCCACCTTCCTCTGATGCTGCGCATGCCCAGTGTGTTCTACTGCTTTGGTTTGCTTTCGTGCGTATCAGACTTCTTTCACCAGGTAAGGCATCCTGGAAACAGAGCTATAGTTGGCTGGCACAAACAAAACCCAGGGGGTCCCAAGAGACTTCGGGTACGTAAAAGGGAAGGGGGTGCTCGCCCTCTGCGTTAACAGCCCCCACGGCCGAGAGCCAGAGTACATAAAGCAGCAGTTTCCACTGGCTGGGCCGGGAGGGAGGATGACGGGAGAAGACAAGCAACTACAAGCCCCAGCATGCAGTGCGCAGCGTGGTCTCCCGAGAGTCTGGCGGTGCAGGCTGCCGGGCCTCAGTCCAGAGTCGGGCTGACCGATACAGGCTGACTGTCGGCCAGAGAGCTCAGCATGAGGAAGAAGAGTGCGGCACTGTGCATCAGCCTTTAGGTCTCGCATCCCCGGTGCCTGCTGTTTCGGGGACGCCTGGCATGCTGGGGAGTCAGGCTTCTACGGGCCAGCTTGTCGGCCTTGGCCTGTGTGGGACCTCCACGGCACTAGAGCCTCCGGAGTTACCACGGGACTACGGAGCCGGATGTGACGCTGCCGTGGAGGAAGAAGGGAGAGGCGGAGCGTGACGCGGTGACGTCCTCCCAAGATGGCGGAGAGACAGTGAAGAAACTGTTCCCCCTGGGTGGCCGTCGGTGAGTGCCCACTTCACCCTAGACCTCCGTCACCGCTCTCTCCAGACCCTGGGCCATGGGAGGGCAGGCTTCTTGGAGTTCTAGCGCTGGTCGGGGCGAAGGTGGAATGCTGTGCGAAGCAGCCCCCATGGTGGCCTTGGCCTATCTCAGCTGTGGGATTTCGCGGGAGTGGGAACCGGGCGGAGGGCAGGACAGTGGAGGCCGAGGGAGAATCGGCTTCTGCTGTCACTGTCCGAAGCCGCCAGGCCAGGGGGGGGGGGGGGGGCCCCGTGGGGGGGCGGGAAACATACCTTGCCCCTCCTCTCGCCCTGTCCCCCCGGGGGCACGCGCCTCGCGCTTTGGAGAAACTGCACCGTGTAAACTAACAAGTTCTGGTGATTTGAGGGGAATTTTTTTAAAAAGTATTTTTCTTCCCATCTGTCCCAAGGAGTTGTTTCTTGATAGTTTGTTATTTTTTTTCCCGTTAACCATTTACTGAGTGAAAGTTTTGAGGGTTCAACTGATGTAAAACCTTGAAATTGTGCGGGTTTTTATTTTTATTTTTTGCAGTTTGTGCAGTATTTTCATTCACGTTCATCACAGTCATTTGTTATGTGCAAGGATTGTGTTAGTGTCCAAGGCAAAACAAAATCATTTATCAGTTTTTTTTTCTTTTTTGTTGCTGGGATTGAATCCGGGTCGTTTTACCACTGGCTGACATCCCCAGTTCTTTTTCATTTTTTATTTTGGGTCTCATTAAGTTGCCCTAGCTGTCCTCTAACTGCCTCTCAGCATTTTTAACTGGACAGGTTTGATAAAGTCTTTTCAGAGGAGATAAAATAAGACCTTTTTTTCTTTAAATTTTGTCCTCTGTCCCTTCTCCCCTCAAATGAGTGAACCTTTGATGAAAAATTGTGATTATTGATTACTTTTTTCCTTTGTCTTTTAGATCAAGGGTAAAATCCCATTCTGATATCAAAATGCAGTATTCACACCACTGTGAGCACCTTTTAGAGAGACTGAACAAACAACGGGAAGCAGGTTTTCTTTGTGACTGCACCATAGTGATTGGGGAATTCCAGTTTAAAGCCCATAGGAATGTGCTTGCTTCCTTTAGTGAGTATTTTGGTGCAATCTACAGAAGCACTTCTGAAAACAATGTTTTTCTTGATCAGAGTCAGGTGAAAGCTGATGGATTTCAGAAATTGTTGGAGTTTATATACACAGGAACTTTAAATCTTGACAGGTAAAGTACACATTTTATTTTCAGTTTTAAAAGCTGTTCAGTAGTCTTTAGAGCTCAAGTCATTTGTATTTTTTCTATTCGGTCTCTTCATTCATTCTTCAAATATTTATGCACACAGTGTTTTTCTTTTAATAAAGAAGTCAGTGTCACTGACTTGGGATTAACAAGTATTTGATAAGCACAAAAAACAAAAATTTAGCACATTTGTCAACCACAACAAAGACTGTGATTTCAGCTTTGTAAATGCAAAATTTAAACAGTAAATTCCAGTTTCCCTTTGCTTTTTGATCTTTGTATCCCTCTGTTGTTCTTTCTCCCTTCTTCCATCTCCTACTTCTTAAGGTATCTGGAGTATAGATGGGGGAAGAAGGAAGAACTTCTGGTCTCATACAGTAGTGCTTCCATTGCCAACCATAAATAGCAGTGTGCAGGATAGCTTCCTGATGGCAGTAACTCTGTTATCTCTTAACATTAACCCACCGTATTAATGCTTAAATCAGGTTGGTGCTAGCATGCTTCTCTAAAATGCTTACTGCTGTCACTGCACATACCAGTAGGTTCTGAGGGACCTGACAACATAGGCACTGTGTGTCTTCTCTACATAATGAACCAGATAATTAGAATCAATAGCAATACATTTAGTAGTAGTAGGAGAAAAGGGGGAGAGGATAAAGCAAAGAGAAACTGATGATATTATTGCTGTTTTCCTACTGCTACCACTTGTGAAAGTGGTAGAAGAATATAAGTAGACTATTCTCAGTCCCCCCCGCCCCCTAATCTCTTGATAATCCTGGGGATTGAACCCAGGGCCTAAAACATGCTAGGCAAGAACTCTACCACTGAGCTACATCCCCAGGCTTAGTCAAGACTATTCATAATCTTCTGACATAGATTTATGGGCTTTAGAATGAGATCTTGCCAGCCAATCAGTGTCTCCTTGACCAAGTTGTAACTTCCCTGGGCTTCAATTTCCCCATCTGTAAAAATGAGAAATAACTACTTTGATATTGTTGTGAAGATCACATGAGAATTTACTTGAAGCCCCAATAAACATTAGTTTATTCCTCCTAATAACGAATAACATTAATTTTTTTCTTCTATACTCCCCACCCACATTCTGATTCCACATTTTTCAGAGAAAAGTTAGAAAGAAAAAATACCTGAAATTTTGCCACCCCCTAATAACCACTATAACTTTTTAATATATATTTATTCTTTTCCTGAAGATCTGTATAGATATTTACATGTACACATTAAGTAAAATTCTTCCCTTTTATATTGCAGTTTATTATGGAACTATACTTCTTTAAAAAAGTAAGAATCAAGATACTGCTTCATCCTTTTGAAAAGGAAACTTTTCATGCTGTTTTGGAATTATTTTTAAATTTTGGTAAAATGAAATTTTTAAGTGAATCAGTTCTGTTTGATTAAAGGAACAAAACAGTGTCATAGATTAATCTCACATAATAAATTACTTAAATTTGCTAAATAGTTGATTGTGCAGGTACCTCTGATCTAAGATTTTAGAATACTTGATAGAAAATAACCACATACCAGTGATTTTTCGTTGACCTTTAATTTAATGGTTTCTTTTTCTTGGTTAACTGTGCAGGAAAAGATCTTAACTTGATTTGAACTCACTGCAGAGCATCTTTCTTTGTGCCTTCATGCAAAGAAGCAATGTGAAGAAGAGCCAGGTGTTTTGTTCAGTCTTTTTTCGATGCATATCTTTCCTGGTGAGCTGGGGAACTAATTGTTTGAGCCCAGCCAGGAATGTAAGAGAAGATTTATACCAAAATAGAAAGGCTATAAAATTTAGTTATTAAGAAAAAAGACATGGTGGTACGTAGTACCTGTAATCTCAGATTACAAGGCTGAGGCATCAGGATCCAAGTTTGATATCCTGACTCAAACAAAAAAAGGGCTGGGACATATGGTTTAGTGGAAGATTGTCCCTGGGTTCAATCCCTAGTACCAGAAACAAACAAAACCTAAACAGAGTAATAGAAAATCAAGTGGGCTCAGGAGCCAAATTGTCTTGGTCAAATCTTGGAATCTTAGTTCTAACACTCTGTAATCTTGGACAAGTTACATAGTTTCTTTGGAACTCTGACTTTTCTTTTCCTTTCTTTCACCAGTGCTGGGGATTGAACCCAGTGCCTCATACATGTTAGACAAGCGCTATACCGCTAACTTATACCCTAGCCCCTGATTTTTCATTTGTATGTACAATGAGAATTATAAAAGATTTCTAGGCACCTTCTGAGGATTAAGTGAACCAATTCTGTAAAGTATTTAGTCATATAGGTGGCAATAAGTAATTAGATGATCTTCAATGATTAAAAAATGATAGAAGTCTGATGTTGTAACTTTGTGTTTGTAAACAAAAGCAAAAGATCAGTTATTGAAAAAAAAAACAAATGCTGACTGGCTCTCTTAACTGTTACTGAGATTATAGACTATGAAATAAACAAATAATTTGTATAAATCACTGTTTCAGTATTGAACAATTAATGTGTCTTAATGCTAGTTTTATAGGCCTTTAAGGCTACCTGACCTGGTAGTTTGGTTCATTTTATGCAACACAGAGCATATTAATTTAAGACCACAAGATCTGTTTTAGTTAAGTATAATAAGTGGTACAGGAAGTTTGATTTTTATCCTAGTAGTGTTTCTCATTAATTGTACTTTTAGTAACACATTATAAAGTCAATAAAAATGCTGAAAGATGTTTTTAGATACTGATAATGCTGTATACCCATAAGAAAAAAATTGGATAAAAAGTGAATATAATTATATTTGGGGCATTTGTGCTATTTTGCAAGTAGAGAATTAACATGATTACAAAGAGTCATTATATATTTTTAAATTATAGCAATGGCCAATAAGAATATCTTAGGTAATATTTTCTTATCTAGGGGAAAGACTGAGACTATACCAAAAATTTATTTGTAATCTGTTTAAGAATGTGGGGTGGATTTTCTGAGAGAATAAAATATTCTAAGATGGAAGTTAGGTTTACAAATTAGCCTACAAATCTACTTAATCTGTAATGAACTGAAAATTGATTGTTTGCAATAAAATACAAATTTTTAAAAGACTTTGTAATGCTAGATTGAATAAGAGAAAACAAGGCAGGTTTAATTGGAAGATGATGAGAAATAGGTAGAGATTTGCAGGTACTGTAGAATGCTTGTAGATATCCTAGAGGTTCATGATGTTATTATTTTTAATTAAAATTCAAATTTTAGTCCTAAAACTAATAATATTACCAGCACTATATTAGTATTAGCTACAATTAAAATTAGAAGAGATCATCTTAGAGGACCAAATAATTTAGGAGAGAAATGACAAGTAAGGAAAGTTATTTGAAGGTGGTCTGTTTGTATCTATACTCAGTATGACACTTTGGTCATATTTTTAGTATTGATAACATAAACTTTCTTAATTTTATAGCCAGAAAATTGGAGTTTCCAAAGGTACAGACTCACCCAAATTAATTTATTAGTACTACCAGCCAAATCTAGTGATTTTTCTCTATATTGTAAACTTGTGGTAAGCAGGGACTATTTGATATTTCTTAATATCTCTCTCAGTATCACTCATGTTAGAATGCTGAACAGAGTGACTTGTCTTTCTATATAACTCTAACATGACAAACTGTAAGGCAACTTAGATTCTGAGTATCACCAAAAATGTGGGAAAGTTGCTAGAGGGAGCTTAATGCATTCTAAAACATTGTTCTTCTCGGCTATGATCCATGGACCTGAAGCATTGACATCACCAGGGCATATATTAGAAATGTAGAATGTCAGGCTCTGTAAAGACTTCCTGAATTTGAACCTTTACTTAACACAATTCCTGGGTGAGTCACATACACAGTGAAATTTTAGAAGCAGTTAAAAGTCTCCCAGAGGAGCAGGGCAGAATAGTTGAAGACAAGTTTCATTAGACTCTTCCTGTTGCCAATTAAGAAAAGTTGGGTTGCTATCTGAAGAGATTTCAGAGTGAATGAGAGGAAGCAGGGAGTTGCCAACAACTATTTTTGTTTCCATGGTTTTTTAAAAGCAACCAGATAATTAAGCATTGTTTTCCTATAGTGGTCCACCTGCAGCTGTAGCCATTATTTTCCATCTTTTCATATCTTGTAAAATTGAAGATCTTTGCCTAAACATTATTTTGAATGGATTAAATTATGTAAATATGCTGTTAAGTTATACCTTTTTCAGTATTCTGTTTCATTTGGTCTTTAAAATATGTGTAGCTCTGTTTCAAAAACAGTTTTTCTTCGATCAGAGTATTGTCATTTAGCCTTGTTTCCTTACAGTTGGAATGTTAAAGAAATTCATCAGGCTGCTGACTATCTCAAAGTGGAAGAGGTAGTAACTAAATGTAAAATAAAGATGGAAGATTTTGCTTTTATTGCTAATCCCTCTTCTACGGAGATATCTAGTATCACTGGAAACATTGAATTGAATCAACAGACTTGTCTTCTTACTCTTCGAGATTATAACAATCGGGAAAAGTCAGAAGTATCTACAGATTTAGTTCAGGCAAATTCTAAACGAGGATCTTTAGCAAAGAAGTCTTCTCAAACTAAAAAGAAGAAAAAAACTTTCAACTCCCAGAAAACAGGGCAGAATAAAACAGTGCAATATCCCAGTGACATTTTAGAGAATACATCTGTTGAATTATTTCTAGATGCAAATAAGTTGTCCACACCTGTAGTTGAACAAGTTGCACAGACAAACAGTTCAGAACTCGAGTTGACATCAGTTGTGGAAAATACTTTTCCTGCACAAGATATTGTACAAACTGTTAGAGTGAAACGGAAGCGTGGAAAATCACAGCCAAATTGTGCTCTGAAAGAACACTCTATGTCTAATATAGCCAGTATCAAGAGTCCTTATGAGCTGGAGAACTCTGGGGAAGAGCTGGATCAGAGGTATTCCAAGGCCAAGCCAACATGTAACACATGTGGGAAAGTGTTTTCTGAAGCCAGCAGCTTGAGAAGGCACATGAGAATACATAAAGGAGTGAAACCTTATGTTTGCCACTTGTGTGGAAAGGCATTTACCCAGTGTAATCAGCTGAAAACGCATGTAAGAACTCATACAGGTAAGACTGGTTGACTGTGGGAATATTCAACTCTTTGTTTTTTGTTGTTGTTGGATTTGTGTGTGTGTGTGGTTTTTGTTTTTGTTTTGGTACTGGGAATTGAAATCATAGGTGCTTTACCATTGAGCTACATCCCCAGTCCTTTTTCATTGTTTATGACAGGGTTTTGCTAAGCTCATGAGATTGGCCTTAAACTGTGATCCTCTTGCCTCAGTCTCCTAGTCACTGTAGTGTGCTACTGCACCAGGATGATTTTTTTTTTTTTTTAATACTATAGCTACAAGGATTTGGGTGGGGGATGCTGGGCAATGAACCCAGAACCTTTAACATTCTAAGGATACAGCCTACCACTGAAATATCTATTCCCTGACCTAAAATAGTATTTTTATAGGCAGCATATTAGCATACAGTATTTTCCACTTATGATCAAAATTTGCCATGTTCTTTTATTCATAGAAGTATTTAGCAATGTTAAACTGTTGGAAAGCTATTTGTAATTATAAGCAAGTATTTAATGGTTGTTAGTTTTATTGTAATTGACATTTTAAATCCTAAGGTGCTAGTTCCTTATTTTCTTTTTTCTCAAAATAAGCATAAACGTGGTTCTAGCTTGCTGAGTATTCAACAGAGACAGGATTACAGCTGGTAAGAGAAAATATAATCACAACTTAAGCCAGTTTTCACATATTACCAACCACTCTTATTATGTGCTCCTTTGTTGACTTCTGAACATGTTTATTAGAATCATATATACAGGGGCTGGGGTTGTGGCTCAGCGGTAGAGCACTTGCCTAGCACGGGCGAGGCCCTGGGTTCAATCCTCAGCACCATATAAAAAAAAAATCAATTAATTAAAGATATTGTATCCAACTACAACTAAAAAAAAAAAAAGAATCATATATACATTCTTAGATGAGCACAGTGGTGCATGTCTATAATCCCTGCTGCTTGGAAGGCTGAGACATGAGGATCACAAGTTCAAAGCCAGCCTCAGCAATGGCGAGGCACTTAGCAACTCAGTGAGACCCTGTCCCTAAATAAAATACAAAATAGCAAAATAGGGCTGGGTATGTGGCTCAGTGGTTGAGTACCCCTGAGTTCAATCCCCGGTACAGAAGGAAAAAAAAAAAAGAATTATATATACACTCTTTCATCAGTTTCTACCTTTACCTTATTTTGCTTGTTCTCTTTCTGGTGGCAAAGTATGAGCACCATTGGTACACTTACATTTATGCTTTTTTATATACAATATATATTTCTCTTATTGATCACCTTTCACTATTATGAATTATAATGAGAAACATTAATTTCTTTTATTCTACCAATATTTTCAATAGTCTGGAAAGAGGTCCTCTTTACTTTTTGGTTTTTTTTTTGAGATAGAGAGAAAGAGAGAATTTTAATATTTATTTTTTAGTTTTCGGCAGACACAACATCTTTGTTTTGTATGTGGTGCTGAAGATCGAACTCGGGCTGCACGCATGCCAGGCGAGCGCGCTACCGCTTGAGCCACATCCCCAGCCCAGCAGTTAACATTTTCTAAATACCAAAACTAGTACTGTTGATGAACACTTTTGAAAACTTAAATGACTTTAGCAACTAAAACAGAATTTTTCCTTCTTAACATATTTATTTGCTCCTTCAGGTGAGAGGCCATACAAATGTGAATTATGTGATAAAGGATTTGCTCAGAAATGCCAGCTAGTCTTCCATAGTCGCATGCATCATGGTGAGGAAAAGCCCTATAAATGTGATGCGTGCAATTTACAATTTGCAACTTCTAGCAATCTCAAGATTCATGCAAGGTAATACAAACAAAAAATGACTTGTTTAACTTTTAGTTTGTTAATCACCATAATCTTATGAATATACTGCTATATTAAAATTCAGGACAGTAGTGGTTCCAGCCTTCAGTATTCTTAGCACAATCCAGAAAATGTGGTAGTTGAAGGGTAATAAGAAGGGCTAAAAACTAGGAAATAAGGTCAGGGTGATATGGTGATTGGATGGTATAGTTCCCCCCAACCCCATAAGCCATTGCAGAGCTTTACCTCTTGAGATTGAGAAACAAGTGATATGACTTGCATTTTAAGAGGATCATTCGGGCTGCTCTAGTAGGAAAAGACTGTAGGATTGCAAGAGTGGAAGCAGGGTGACCAGTTAGAAATCTGTTCATAAAATTCAAGTGAAGGGATTATGACTTAGGGCAGGGTCATAATAGGCAAGGGGATGGGTACCAGACATTTTAGAAATAGAACTTAACAGAATTTGTTGACAGCTTGGATACAGGATCTGTAAGAAGTGTCAAAGATGATTTCAAGGTTTGGGGCCTGAGGATCTGAAAGGATGGAGCTGACATTAATGGAGGAGGGTTATAGAGAGAGCTGTTTAAGGAGGAGCTCAAGAGTTTAGAAGTACAGTTCTGAAAATTTTAAATTTGAAATGACTACTACACATCTGACAAGAGATGTGCCATAGACAATTTATTATCTAAGTCTGGAGCTTAGGAGACAAATTTGGTAGTCATCAGTCTATGGTCACCAAGAGAATGAATGTGGATAGAAAAAGGTGGGAAGACTAAATCCTGAAGTACTCTAGGGAGCTCTTAGATCTGGGATATGTGCAAAAACCAGCAGAGGCAGTCACTAGAAAAGAAGGGCCAGTGTAAGAGGAAAACCAGGAAAATGGGCTGCCCTGGTATCCAAATGAAGACAATTATTCCAAAAGGGCATAATCACCTCCTAAATTCTGGTGATAGGGAGATGAAGACTTAAGAATTTACTTGAATTTAGTGAAATGGGAGGTAAGCAATTCTCATAACAAAAGCCTTATTAGCAGAGGTTAGTAGAGAAGGAAGTGAGTAGAGAAGAAATGGAAATAAACGTTTTAGAGACTCAAAGTTTTGGTAAAAGGAAACAGATAAATGGAGGAATAAGCTGGGTCAGGTTTGTTTTTGTTTTAAGAGGGAAGACATACTGTTTGTATGCTGTGATCCAGTGGCAGGGATGGATGGTATAGGATGGGGTATATTGTAGGAGTGATGCCATTGAGTAGGATTTCAAGTACTGTACAAATAGTCTCTCTGGATTCAGATGAACTGTCATCCTCATATTTGTTTCCAGAAGGAAAACAAAACGATATAGGAGGCAAGATGTCAGCTGGGAGCAAGGATGGATGAGGATATGCTGGTGATTTGAGGAAGGAATTTTGACAAATGAGTGAACGGACCAATAAAAATAAGTGCAGTATTAGGAACTCACTGGCAACCATGTAAAGATGATAGCAAAACTTCCTGGCTCTCAGAACTAATGTTTTAATAATTTTATTTAACATTTAATTTTGGCAGTGTTTTACATTGAAACAACTATTGATTTTAATTTGAAATAAAATACTCTGTGAAATATTATTTGCAAAATGACTGCTGCATAGTTTTACCTCTAAATTGTTTTACTTAACAGAATACAATTGTATATTTATTTACCAATAGGAAGCATAGTGGAGAGAAGCCATATGTTTGTGATAGATGTGGACAGAGATTTGCCCAGGCCAGCACCCTGACCTATCATGTCCGTAGGCATACTGGAGAAAAGCCATATGTGTGTGACACCTGTGGGAAGGCATTTGCTGTCTCTAGTTCTCTTATCACTCATTCTCGAAAACATACAGGTAAGAGTTTAACACAGAGATTGCCTAAAATAAGGAAAGTTGTACATAAAAGAAAAAGGGGAATTGGCCCTTTATAGAAGGAAGATTATAGATTTTATAGTTAGATATCTGTTCATATTTCTTGAAGCTATTGTGATTTTCACCTAAATATTAGATATAAAATCTGACACATTTTCTAGAATAATACAGGTGGATGAAGTTTTTTATCATGTAACACATTAAAATCAGTTGAGGTAATTTTGATACTTACATAAACTTGAATTAAGACATGTTTTATAACTTTAGAAAACATCCTAAGCCTCTTGAGAATTTATTTCCTTTGGGTAAATTGTGGAGGGAAGTTAAGAGGTAGGAATAGGTTTAGGTGGTACAGAATTTAAACTTCTTAAGACTTTCCTACACAGACATTCTGAGATTTGTAACTTAAACAGATAATGCAGCATATTATCAGTCTTGAAGCATACTATTGATTTGAGTCTCATTTTTTGGTAAGGTATGTTTAAAAGAGAATCGTCCTTAAGTGCTTTATTCTCCTTGAATAATATAATAGATGCAAGATCTGAAATATGGATTCATGAATGTACATAATCTTAATCACCTAAAAATCTACTTGCCCAGTTCATCTCTACCAGAAGGGACATTTGTAGGAATAAAGTTTCAGTATATGAAAAGTATCAGGTTATAAGAACAGAATAAAATGATTATTAATAATTCATATAAGTTGGATCACTGAAAATACCTCTAAAATACAACATAGGTTTTAATTAAATATTTTAGAAAGCTTACTTTAGATTATTTGTAATTGACAAATATTATGTTGGTTATAGTACACCACTTCGCTATCTTTTATTTTCCATCTAGGTGAAAAACCATACATATGTGGTATTTGTGGGAAAAGTTTTATTTCCTCAGGAGAGCTCAACAAACACTTTCGATCCCATACAGGTCTGTGTTTAGGGAGAACGTATTATTTTTTGTTCTCTCTTAATTTCTTTTAATGTAAACCTTGGCTTTTAAACCATTATGAACTACATGGTATCTAGTCATAATTTACCTATAACAATATTTTAATGTATGAATATCAACATTTTAATTGCCTCTTTTTGTTTAAAATATGAATTAAATTTGGTCAGGAATTTTAAAGATTTTCCAAGAAATATGCCAGAAATCAATAGGATTTGAATTAAATCACACAAATGTACCAAGAAACAAAAAGGAATCAATAATATCAAGAAAATATCAGATTTTCTTATTTTCTGTATGCAAGAAATTTAAACATTTTATTGTAAAAAGTAGTACAAAAGCATATAAAGAAAATATTTAAAACAAAGGAAATACCACTTTTAAAGTATACTATTTTAAAGAATTCTTCCTCATAATTCCTAAGTAGATTAGTGTGAATATCTAGTAGAGATTTAATCAATTTATTGGCAACTTCTGTATTCTCATGTTTCTTGGTTTATGGTGTGAAGCACTGAATCGCTCTTATTTCAAAAGAATTACAGAGCTGGAGATGTGGCTCAGGGATAGAGTACTTGCTTAATGTGTGCAAGGCCCTGGATTCTATCCCCAGCACCACAAAAAAGGGAAAAAAGAGAATTATAATATTGTACCCTATTGTCATTATTTAAGAATTTTCTAATTTATAAGCTGAGAGCAGAAACCATAATTACATTGTTTTCTCTAGCTCTTTTAGCCAGGGTCTGGCATAAATTGACACTCAATAAGTACCTAAATGATAGAAGTAAAAGAGTAGGTTACTTTCTGGTTTGTAAACAAATTTCAGATAATGAAAAAAAAATACTCAAATTTTTCTGAAATAGGGATATACTATGAAGTACAAGAATGCCTATGTGTATAGAATTTCTCATTTCAGTATATTATAACCAAGCGATTAAAATGGTAGATTAAAACCAAACTTAAAAAATATAATGATTTTTTGCCTTATTCATAAACATTGAACATTCAACAGTTTTGTGAATATTAAAGTTTTAACTTGCTTTTTAGGAGAAAGACCATTTATCTGTGAATTATGTGGAAATTCTTACACAGATATTAAAAATTTAAAGAAGCACAAAACAAAAGTCCATTCTGGTAAGGACTTGTATATTTAAAAAATTTGTTGTTCTCCCATTGCTGCGTTTCGTTAAAATGTTGAGTGTACATTTTAACAGTTTAAATTAGATATCAGTTCTTAAAATCTAAGACCAGAAATCTAATAAATAAATGGAAAATGTAGGACATAGTAGATACAAAAGTGATATAGTTTTTCTGGGGTATTAGGAAAGTTCTAATTTTAGGAATTTTAGGAATGAAGAGAGTTCAAAGAATGGACATGGGTAGGGGAGGGTTCTTTCTAGGCTAGCCTCAGCAGCCTAGTGAGATCCATCTCAAAATAAAAAGGGTTGGGGGTATATGTGACTGTGGTAGAACTTCCCTAGGTTCAAACCCCCAGTATCGCTAAAGAAATAAACAATACAAAACAAGAAAAAAAGATAGTAGAAAGTTTTCCCTCTTGAGTAAAGCAGAATTTCTGACCTCTTAATATAAATGAAAGTGCCATTATCTGAACTTGAGTTACAGAATAATAAAACACTCAAATTTTTTATTTTCCAGTATTTAGAAGGTACTGGAGTAAAATTTGAGGAATTTACAGCCTAGTTGAAGATTCAAGGCATATATAGGTAGACTGTTATATAGCAGTGAGAGAGAGATGCCACAAGGCAGTATATGAAACTTTACAAATGTATAATGAAGTAAATAAAAAAAAAGTTTGTTCTTATCTAGAATAACTAGTTCCATTTTTATAATGGAGTTGGTGCTTAAATTAGCCTTGAGACCCAGATGGAGTATGTATAAATAAGGCAGGTATATCAGTAAAAGAGAAAATGCTAACACAAAGCTGCAAAGGTTTAGTGCAGTTCTGGGACCAGTAAGTAGATTTGTGTGGTTCAGGCATTTGGGGTTTTTTAAAAAAGATTGTGTGAATTTTTTCCCCTTCCATTTCAGGTACAGATAAAACTCTGGATCCCAATATGGAGGATCATACTTTGAGTGAACAAGATTCAATACAAAAAAGTCCTTTGTCAGAAACTATGGATGTGAAGCCTTCTGATATGACTCTACCATTAAGTCTTCCCCTTGGGACTGAGGACCACCACATGCTTCTGCCTGTCACAGATAATCAGTCTCCTACATCAGATACATTGTTGAGGTCAACTGTGAATGGATATTCAGAACCACAGTTGATTTTTTTACAACAATTGTACTGACTTTGTGAGGAATGTGGAATTGCTAAGACATCTGTGGTAGTAAGCATAAACATCTCTGGTAAGGTGCATATATTCATATTAAATTCTCATTCATTTGAATTGTGACCATTCTTTTCATTCACCGAAGTAAAAGCACCTGATGCTGCATTCATAACTGCAGTGCTTGTTTTGTTTGGGGGCTTTTATGTCTAGAGTATATACACAGCTTTTTAAGGAATGAATTAATTCTATGGTAGCACTATCTTGGGTGGGTGGATTAGTTTTATTCTCTTTTAAGTTAGAGCCTCCTTAATTCCATTTTTATTTGAATTTTAGAGTTGCCTTCATTTATTGAAGTAGAATCTGTCAGTTTGTAGTGCTTCTGTTTTGACCTGTGGGATTTTCTAATCTTCCCCTGCCCCCTTCCCGCTCAAAATTTAAACAAAATCCATGCTAGTATCAGTCCTAAAGTGTTGTAAGCTCCATAGATCAAACCATAAACTATGGTGGAAAATTTTTTCATATTTCCACCTATGAAAATTCAGTTACTGAGTAAGAGCTGTGCTGTTTTTATAATTATATGTTCCATTAGAGGTAACTTCTCTAATGAAACCAAAAGAATTGTTTTTTCTTAAAAACTAGGAAACTATAAAAATTTTTGTCATTTAGAACTCAATATTCTGGGTTCTAAACCAATGGTCAGTTGAGTCGGTGTTTTTGATTTATTGGAGACTATATTTTCAAAATGTATTTTAAATAGACATTTGGTGTTTTTAATCTAGTCAAGACAGTTTTGAAATTTGATTCAGTTTATATCTTATTGAGTTTTTGGATTGGAAATGAGGAATATATACTGAGTTTTGAAAATTTTTGATAAGCCTCTCATGATTATTATACACTTTTTAAAACAAATATTCTAAAAAGAATTTTCTGGACACAAATAGTGTAAACTAGAAATCACTTTGCTTCTAAATTTGATACATTATATTGCATAAAGATTCAAGAAATTCGCCTAGCAAACTTGAGGCACTGGCTGTCCACAGCACTTCAAAAAAGGAAAAGAAGAAATCAACTTCAATTACAGTTAACATTTTGGGTTATCAAAAGTTCAGTTTATCAAACATTTTATATAAGCTTTGTGTTCTTAAATTTTCTAAGTTGAATCACAATTTTGGGTTGTTGTCATGGTTTTATATTGGTTCTTTATCTTCCAAGAGGAAAATCAGTATTTATCCTCATATTTGCTACCACTCTTTTCCATCTCACTTTTCCTACATATTAATTTATTTACCCTTGATCTTTGAACATTAAATTATTATTGTTTCACAAAGTCATTTCCCATAATGCTGATAGAACATCATGGTGACATAATTTCTCATTTCTTCCATGCATTAATTGTGGCTTATTTGTTTTTGAGTTTTAAACTACACATATAATAAAGTTAATGTGTTCATTCATCTTGATTTCTTTAATCACAATTTTCTTTATTTGGGCTCCAAATCATAGGAACATATTGAAGGATGTAATAAAAACAGTGAATTTTGTAGACTAAGAAATTTTCACCATTTCCTAGCACACACAATTTATTTTCACAATAAATTGCCACCAGTGGAAATGACTTAATTAAATAGAGTATAAAATGCTACATTTGTATAATGCAAATTTAATGTTTGGTCATTTAGTTAAAAAAATCTAATTATGCATGTGTATTAAGTTAACATACTGGGTTTAAATAAAATCTATAAAGTTTAATGTTAAGCTAATTTGTTTTAGCTTAAATTCAGTAGGAAATTTGAATGTGAAGAAATTTTAAAAAATTAAAACACTCAAGCCTCTTCAAGAAGTTTGCCAAAATGGAAAGATTAGTTTAATCTATATCTTCATTAATCCAAACTTCTAATGGATAAAATTTCTTTTTAAAAAATGACTATGGCCATGGCATAATTCTGTGAGGACAAGAATGGTCAAATTTCTTCAAATGTAATGATAATTAGTATTTTGCCTTTGCATAAATTAGCCTACAAAGTTATTATTTTTAGTATTATTTAGTAAAATTGGGGTTGTGCTTTTTTAAAATCACATCTGCTTAGCTAAAATAATTTTACTTTAATATTGCTTGAGTCATTGTTATCCTCTCCTTTTCACTAATTATAGACCAAGAGAGCTTGACGACAGTATCCCTTATAATTTTACTATTTATCATAATATGCTTGTATTTTAGTTTGTCTGGTAATCATGATAACACACGAATCATTTAATTAACTCCTTTAAATATATTTGTTAAGCAATGCAGGAAAGATTTAATTAGTCAAGTATTACAGAATTTTTTGAAAGTCTGTCTTTAGAATGTTGAATATCTTTCTGAGAAACTATATTATTTTCTAAATGAATTAATTTTATACTAGATTCCTACTGTTTTGCTAGGTTTTAAACTTTATAAAAGGAAATCATAGATCATTTATAAATGATTTTTTTGCTATTTTAAAATGGTATTTTTTTATGTTTAATTTCACAGGATAATTTTGGTAGACACACTTTAGAAATTTTTTTTCCCCAAAGTGAGAGCTTCTATCACTTCCATTGTAGTAGTATTTATCATCTTTTCTCTATATTCTAATCCTATAGAAATTGTGCACATGAAAGTGGTTAAAATAGACAGTAAGACCTGGGGATGTGGCTCAAGCGGTAGCGCGCTCACCTGGCATGCGCAGGGCGCTGTGTTCGATCCTCAGCACCACATAAAAATAAAATAAAGATGTTGTGTCCACCGAAAAACTAAAAAATAAATATTAAAAATTCTCTCTCAAAAAAAAAAATAGAAGTGTACAGGTACTAATTTAAAGAAATATTCTAGACTAATAGCACTAACTTTTTTTTGTTGTTGATACTAGGGATTGAACTCAAGGGTACTGGACCACTGAGCCACATCCCCAACCCTGTTTTGTATTTTATTTAGATACAGGGTCTCACTGAGTTACATAGCACCTTGCCATTGCTGAGGCTGGCTTTTGATTCTCCTGTCTCAGCCTGCCGAGCCACTGGGATTACAGGCATGCCTTCCTGCGCCTGTAACATTTTAATTCATAATCAGAAATGAGTTTAAGAAAGAGCAATATCCAGGCCCACTTCACCTTAGACTTAATAAATCAGACAATCTCCAGGAAATATATACATGCTGGAAAAGCTCCACAAGTGATATATACCAAACACTGGGAACTATTATCCTCAACATTTCTTGGTTTTCTACCTTTGGAAAGCAGTTAAAAAGAAGCTCTTGAATATAATTTTCCATCTTTTAGGGGACTTTGAGTTGCCATTTCTTAGCTAGAAACACCATCACGTAAAAAGGAGTCATATTAAAATAAGAAATTTAAATTCTAGGGCTAGGTTTGTTGCTCAGTGGTAGAGCACTTGCCTAGCATGTGCAAGGCCCTGGGTTCAATCCTCAGCACCACATAAAAATAAAATAAAGATACTATGTCCAACTACAAAAAATATTTTTAAAAAATTTAAATTCTAAATTTTTACCCACTGTTTTTGAATAATAATTGAAATTTAGTTATTGGAGCAGTAATTTCTTGACACCATGATATAATCGACTCTTCTGTCCTCTGCAACCCCTGCCCCCATTCATTCAAGTAAAGTTTGATGTATTTAAGAAAGTAGGTAATTAGAGTGTAAACATAGTAACTTTTCAGAATTAGCGTCTTTAATTTTGAGAAGGGGATAGTAAACACTGGAGGTGAACATCCTCTGATTTGGATAAAATATCTGGCTAGTATTTCAAATGCTAGAACAAATACAGAATGTGTGAAGATAAAAAATTAATAAGATAAACTCTACCCTTAAGTATAATCATGGAAAAAGCCAGCCTTACTATAACTAGCAGTAAAATAAGCCAGAATGTTGAGTGTTATGGTAACAGAAGGCAAGAAAGGAAATGTTAAGCAGTAAGTGGGAGTTAAATAGAGAAAGGGCCTTTGCCCACCTGGATAGACAAACAGGAAATGGCTGAACAGAGGAAGTAGCACGAAGCTGACTGAGGAGTGAACTAGGAAGAATGGAGAAGTATTAAATGAATAGATACAGGAGTGAGAGAAATGTCCAGCATTGTACCCACACCGACTTACCTGAAATAGTCCTCTACCAATGTCTGCTAAAGCAGATGCAGATAGCCAGCTTTATAACCCATGATCTCACCCAACAATCCCAGTTGACTTCTGGATCTGCATTTGTAACACGATTCTATACTTGGGACCCCCATCTACTGGATACCTTAAGAAACAGTTTCCTGGACCAGACACCTGGACAGACTCTTTCTCAAGAATTTGAGCCATAAAATTCAGACTGTCAAAAAATAATATATGTTTGGGGAGCCAAGAGACTGCTCCAGAGAGGAAGGAGTGGCCCTGGTTTTGGGCTTTGTAATCCCATGCATGAGGAGGGGTCACAACAGTGCTTCATTTCCTCCACTGGATGCCAGTGATTTTGACAGTTGTGTCCTTGCATTAAATCCCCTTTTTCTCAAATGGGCTTTAGAGTATCTGTTCCTTGGAGTCAGACAACCCCAAGTTGGACTCTTGATTTTGAATACTTGGTGATTGAGAAGATGGTGATATCAACTGTGAAAGAAAGATAAGGTGTAGGTCTGGAAGGTGATCTTGGATATATATTTGATTGGTACTGGGATAGGCTGGCAATATTTGGAAATCAAGCCTAGGAATTGTTAAATCTAGAAATGTAGATCTTGCAGCTCTGTATGAGGCCAACAATAATTTATTGAAATGATGAAGGCAGCCTGGGAGATGATGTGGGAGAATAAAAGATGAGGACCAAAAATTGAGGGAAATGTATATAAAGTATGTGCAAAGACAGAAAAGGAGGTGAAAATAACAGAAAAACAGGAAGATATCCAGAGTTGTGCAAGTTTCTCAAATGGAACTTTACAGTGATCACAAGGTAGAATGCAAATCAAAGACATAATTGGGTTAGAGAATTGAAGCATGATTATCATTTGAGAAGGCAGCTGCAGTGTAATACAGTAGGAGCCAGATGGATACTATTTGAGAAGTAGATATTAAGACATAATGAATGAATAGTACTGGAGAAATTTGAAAGTGACAATGTGTAAAGAACATTATTTGAAAGTGTATATTACTTTATTCCATTTTGCTTTCAAATCTGAAAGGAGGAGTGTAATATGATCTGTGACTATGTAATAAGCTATATTTAAGCTGGATCTTTTTGTAGTAACAGGAATTAAACCAAGAGCGCTCTACCAATGATCTACATCTCAAAATTTATTTTTAATTTTATATTTTTATTTTGAGACAGACTAACTGCTGAGTCATTGGGATTACAGGTGTGTACCACTATGCTTAGCTAAGCTGAGTCTGATAGCTGCCAAGCTTGGTGGTGCATGCCTGTAATCCCAGGGATGCTGGAGGCAAGGCAAGAGGATCCAAGTTCAAAGTAGATCTCAGCAATTTAGTGAGATCTTAAGCAACTTAGCAAGATCCTGTATCAAGATAAAAAAGGACCAGGGATGTAGCTAAGTTAAAGTCTAAAGGAAATTATGAGTAAGCAGAGAAAAGCAATCTGTAAAGGAAGAAATGAAGTTTGGGGAGCCAAGAGTTAAATTCCCAGTCACCGTCCCCCCCCACCAAAAAAAAGGATAATTGCTAAGAGGAAAATGGGCAAAAGTTATACAATATGGTTGCAGATTTACTCATTATGATTAAGATGTGCAGAGGAAATGGAGTTTTCTTACAGAACTAATATAACTTTCTTAAACCCTACCTATTGGTAAGTCCATAGAAAATTAACTTCTGATCTTAGCCAGTTGAAAACTTACCATATACTCTGATATAAAGGGGATATAAAATATAATAACTTAAGGTATCTAAAGTAATCCTTTATCTGCTAGGAAATGCTATCTGGCTTCTGCCTTTTGTCTCTCAAATTGTGTCCAGATGTATGGAGAGGGCTTATATGACATAATGGCATTAGTGTGAGGGATCTTGAGCTCTTCCATTCTCTGGGCATCCTACTGGCCTCTGATATAGTTAAGCAGTGGCTTATAAAAATATATGATCAAGTCTTTCCTAACTCGGTCAGAGCCTGGTGGTTCTTGGCTAAACTGGCCTCACCTCCGTTCTCTTGGGTTTGGAGAAATCTCTAAGGCTCTGCCACCTGCAGTTCTGTTTCAAGCAGTCTAATGTAGGTCAGGCTGCAGATTTATCACTTGCCATTCATTCCACAGTAGGCTCAGGAGAGCCCCGTTGCTTCCCCTTTAGTTATCTTATAAATCTCCCTCTCCAAAAATATAGGAACTTGTGGGTCCATTCCATACCATACAGGAATAGACAGTAGCCTGAGAAAGCAAACTATATTGCTAAAGAGACTTCTTTTAACATGGCTGTGTCTTAGCCTGAAAGGCCATATCTTTTCATAATCCTTTAGACTATTCTACTTCCAAGCATATGATAGAATACTTTTTTTTTTTTTAAAGTTCATTCTTTTTTTTTTTTTTTTAAGAGAGAGTGAGAGGAGGGAGAGAGAGAGAATTTCCAACATTTTTTATTTCTTAGTTCTCGGCGGACACAACATTTTTGTTGGTATGTGGTGCTGGGGGATCGAACCCGGGCCGCACGCATGCCAGGCGAGCGCGCTACCGCTTTAGCCACATCCCCAACCTTGAAACAATTAAAAATGGACTACTCTACATTCAACAACAGGAATTGCATGTATATAATGTTGAATAAAAGAAGCCAGACACAAAAAGATTATATGATTCCATTTACATAAAGATAAAAAATCGGCAGAAAGACTCTGTAGTATTAAAAGTCAGTATAGTAGTTGTCTATGAGAGGAGGGTTGGAGGAGCTAGCAGCACTCACTTCCTTGGAAAGGGTATATATTTATTTGCCTGTATTTATGAAATAGTTATTAAAATCTATCTGTAATACCTAAATAGGATACATACATAGAATATTTTTTCAACTTCTAAACTTTGAAAACCCTTTAAATTCACTGGGAATTTGTCACCTGAAACCTTTCTACCATTTTGTAAACAACTTTCAGTTAAGGTATCTGTAGTGACCTTTATCTGTATCTTGTTTCACTACTTGGTTGTATTTTCATTATAAAAATAATTAGTATGGTTTCTTCAGGATTAAAATTTTAGTCTTTTTTTTTTTTTTTTTTTGGTGGTGCTGGGGATCGAATCCAGGGCCTTATGCATGTGAAGCAAGCACTCTACCAACTGAGCTATGTCCCTGGCCCTAAAATTTTAATCTTCATATTGTAAAATTTTTTTTAAATTACCCAGTTTTTCACAATGACAGCTATACAAAATTTTACACATTTCATAAAAGTAACCTAATTTATGAAAGAGAATAGGACATAAATCCAACAGAAGTAATTATATGAAAATTATTTTAGAGCTTGCTTTTCAGAAATATGGACCTACTGAAACAACACAGCAAAATCTGCACTAGATGAGGGGCTGTTGGCATCTCTATGAGTTGGTGTCCAGTAATAATGCTTTTTAAGGCCGTTGCAAACTTCTGCAAGATACACATGTCCATCCACCACATATGGCTCCACATCTGTATTGTTTGGTTTTAGATGGCCCATTTGAATTAAATCTGAATATGCCTAGGATTTTTAGGAAAAATTATCATTAGAAATATAATTTATTCAACTTACAATGCTGAAACAAATATAAACATTTGATTTAGCCATGTATTTTGTAGTTTAAAATACTCTTAACATGGTTGAATTTTAATATTTTCCAGATATTTTTAATTCATTTAATTACAATGAAATTGTAATATTGCAAAAAATTTTTTTAAGTTTTTAATGTATTAGGCATGTTTTGTTATTTTGTAACTCTTCAATTCCTTATAGTAAGTGGACCAAAGGTTTCACAGTCAAATTTTAAGTCTTACAAGGTGATGGTGCACTGAGTAGAGGGTTGTTTTGGTTGCTCTGAAAAATCTGATGATAGCTGGGGACCCATTCCTCAGAAAAAATAAATGGAACCCCAGGATTTGGACATTTCAAGAATTCCACAGTATTACATGCTGGCCTATTATTTCTTCATTGTAGAATTTTCTTTGCATATCTCTTGGATCCTTGGTGTCTATATAAGGGTATCATACAATTACGGTGAATTGGTTTGTTAATAAGGTTTACATTATAGAAAGAGGCAGAAATTTAGACATGAAAAGATTTAGCTAGGCCAGGCCCAGTGCAAAGTCCTGTAATACCAACTATTCAGGAGGTTAAGAAAGGAGGATGGTAAGTTCAAAGCCAGCCTGGGCAAGTTAGCAAGACCCTGTCTCAAAACAAAAATTTTAAAAAGAATTTGGGCATGTTGGTGCATGCCTGTAATCCCAGCAGTTTGAGAGACTGAGTTAGCAGGATCACAAGTTGGGAGACCAGTTTCAGCAACTTAATGAGGCCCATTCTCAAAAACATAAAAAGGACTGAGGATGTAGCTCCTTGATAAAGTGTCCCTTGGGTTCATAGTACTTCCCCCACCCCCCAAAAAAAGAAAAGAAAAAAAGTGTTAAGGATGTTGTTCAGTTCAGTGGTAGAGTACCTGCCTAGCATGCCCAGGATGTGGGTTTGATCACTGGCATCATCAAAATTAAGAAAAAAGATTTAAAGGTTTGTTTTGCTTTCCATATTTAGCTTGTAATTATCAGTGGTTCCAAAATCAACTTACATACCTTCTAGTTTATAGAACTACTAAAGGACACTGATGTTTTTCAAAATTTATGAGTGTTTGTTAGACAGTAGTATGTATTTTAGTACCCTGTAAGTAGTGGAGTTTTGGTTAGTCCTTTTGCAAATTTCGAGAATTTTATCTTCTTTTTTTCCCCCAGTAATTCCTTATTATTTATTCTCCTCTTAGAAAGACACTTGGAAATATAAATATAAAACAAATATAAAATGGTATATATCATACTTAGCAATAGCCAAATACACATTTTCTTGGTATTCCCCATAAGAATAAACTATTGAAATTTTCAGAAGCATACTATACTCTATCCCTCTCACCTTCTTGGGGGGGAAAAAAAAAAGGTCAGTTCTTTCAATTCTCCACAATTTCTTTTTGAAGGGGGTGAGTTACTAGGGATTGAATACCCAGAGGCCCTTAACCACTTAACCATTCCAAACCCTTTTTATATTTTATTTTGAGACAGGGTCTCACTAAGTTGCCTAGGGCCTTGCTAAGTTGTTGAGGCTGGCTTTGAATTTGTGATCCTCCTGCCTCAGCCTCCTAAACTGCTGGGATTACAGGGGTGTGCCACTGCACCTGGCTCCATGATTTTTAACAATGGAGTCTCAAATTAAGTAATCTAAGTCTATTGAGAGACTAAAATATCTAAATCAACGAATTTAAAAATATTTGTATGTGGGCCAGGCCCAGTAGCACATGCCTATAATCACATTGGCTGGGGAGACTGAGGCAGGAGGATCAAAAATTCAAAGCCAGCCTCAGCAAAAGTGAGACACTAAGCAACTCATTGAAACCCTATTTCTAAATAAGATACAAAAAAATAGAGCTAGGAATGTGGTTCAGTGGTCAAGTGCCTCTGAGTTCAATCCCTGGTACCAAAATAAATAAATAATAAAAATACACACACACACACACACGTACATATATATGTACGTGGCTGTACATCCACATACCCAATGTATAATATCATGTTGCCAAGAAACTCCAACTAACAAATATTCTAAATAAGGTTTTCATTTCTTATATTTTGCATGAATAGATTCTGTTCTGTTCAAATCTGCATGGCAATTAAAACAAAGTTGAGTGCAATATACATGTGTTTGTGTGTATGTGTGCGTACATGTGTGTATTCTCTTAAGACAAAACATTAAATACAGGTATATTTAGTATACATCTCCTTAATCTTGGAACCATTTCTGAGGCACATGTAAATAATGTCTGTCATAGAGAAGTTCCAGAAAAAGCCTTCATTGACGAAAAACTTACCACACATGTGGCCTCATCAAATTTGTTTCCCCAAATGTAGATATTAGATAATGTGGGATTTGTTTTCACTGACTGTGAAAGTGCAACAAGTCCTTCTCCCTCTATATTGTTGCTGACTACTGATAATCTGTAGAAAAACAAAAGGTAATAATGCTAGAAACCAGTAGTTCAACAAAGAAAAAAATGTGTAAGTTAGCAATAACATTTATTACAGCCATTTTCACATGTAAAATCTCAGCATTACTCTTTAATGTTTTAATGTGAACAAAATATTGGCCATATAATTTCTAAAGTTCAAGAAACTTAAGTTTTCTTATAATATGCTTCATTTAATTAGAAAAGCTGCCTAGCTTTTAAAAGTAGTCTGCTTTATATTATTCAGTAAATGTTTGGGTAGATTGTAGATATAAGTCTGTATCATAGTGAATGTTTCTGATTTTTCAATATAATTCAAGGTACATAATATAATCAACAAGAATTTTCTCATGAATTTTTCTTTCTTTTTTCCTGTGGTGCTGGGGATTGAACCCAGGCCTTGTGCATGCTAGGCAAGCACTCTACCAACTGAGCTATATCCCCAGCACCTCTCAAGGGCTAAACATCTAATATTTAAAAGGCATTACTTTTGAAAAATAGAAATTAAATATTTACTGTAACTTAGTAGGGAAAGATTTAGAAACTGAATCTTCACATTTTATCATAATTTAAGATTTAAGGAGTTTGAGATTAGTATTGTAAAAAAAAAAGGCATGTTTTTCTGTTAATGTGATTAAATATAAAACCATACTAACACTTTAAGACTTCTGTTGTGAGAAGTAAGAGTTTCACTGAGACAGTTTGCTCCTGCATTTTCTATTCTGTTAAAAGAAAGATCTAAAACTTCCAGGGTGATATTGCTTTTCAGAACATCAGCCAAATACTCCATTCCATCACGAGTTATTTTATTGCTGTGAAAGGAAAAATATTTGGTAATATTTGAAAATACAAAGTACTGCTTTGTTATTTACAGTAGTAAGATGCTTGAAAACATAATAAATAGTACTTTCTATTTTAGCTCACTCAATTTCCAAAAAAGTTAATGAATTTATAAAATATTGTTCCATATCTGATTAACATAACTAAATTATTCATTCAAGATATGAGATTATCAAGGACCTAGGAATTAAACCAGAGACCCTGTGTCTCATAGAAGAAAAAGTAGGCCCAGATCTTCATCATATCAGATTAGGCCCCTACTTCCTTAATAAGACTCCTATAGCACAAGAATTAATAAATGGGATGGACTCAAACTAAAAAGCTTCTTCTCGGCAAAGAAATAATCAGTGGGGTGAATAGAGAGTCTATAGCTTGGGAACAAATTTTTATCGCTTGCACATCAGATAGAGCACTAATCTCTAGGGTATATAAAGAACTCAAAAAGCTAAACACCAAAAAACAAATAACCCAATCAATAAATGGGCTAAGGAACTGAACAGACACTTCAGAAGATAATATATAATCAATCAACAAATATATGAAAAAATGTTCAACATCTCTAGCAATTAGAGAAATGCAAATCAAGACTACTCTTAAGATTTCATCTTACTCCAGTCAGAATGGCAGCTATTAAGAATACAGACAACAATAAATGTTGGCGAGGATGTGGGGAAAAAAGGCACACTCATACACTGCTGGTGAGACTGCAAAGTGGTGCGGCCAATATGGAAAATAGTATGGAGATTCCTTGGAAAACTCTGAATGGAACCACCTTTTGACCCAGCTGTCCCACTCTTCCATGTATACCCAAAGGACTTAAAAAAGCAGCATATTACAGGACACAGCCACATCAATGTTTACTGCAGCACAGTTCAAAACAGCTAAACTGGAATTAACCTAGATGCCCTTCAATAGATGAATGGATAAAGAAAATGTGGTATACATGCACAATGGAATATTACTCAGGAATAAAAATAAAATCATGGCATTTGCAGGTAAATGGATGAAGTTAGAGAAGATAAGGCTAAGTGAAGTTAGCCAATCCCCAAAAAACAAATGCTGAATGTTTTCTCTAATATAAGGAAGCTGATTCATAGTGAGATTGGGAGGGGAGCATGGGAGGAATAGACAAACTCTAGATAGGGCAAAGGGGTGGAAGGGTAAGGGAGGGGGCATGGGGGTAGGAAAGTTGGTGGAATGAGATGGACATCATTACCCTAAGTACATGTATGAAGACACGAATGATGTGAATATACTTTGTATACCACCAGGGATATGAAAAATTGTGCTCTATATGTGTAATATGAATTGTAATGCATTCTGCTGTCATATATAATACATTAGAATAAAAAATTTAAAAAGCAAAAAAGATGAGATTATAAGAGACATAATAACAATATTATCTAAATTAATAAATATTAAGGCTTAGGATGAAAAGTTGACAATGGTTGCCTTTCCCAATCACTGAAAATAGTGTGTAACAAAATATCTCATGTACAACTTTTGATTTAGTAACAAGTAAATTATCACTTACCAGCTGATATCAAGGTAACGCAGGCTTCTGTTCAGATACAGTGCATCGCATAACTTCTGCATACCACAGTTTTTTATACCATGCTTACATATGTGTAGTTCAACAAGCCATTGGTTTTCTTTCAACATATGGCCTAGATGGACAGTGGACTCTTCCTGAAAATAGATAAAATCTTGTTTTTAAAATATAAATTTGAAGGGTTGGAGTTGTAGCTCAGTGGTAGAGCACTTGCCTGGCATGTGTGAGGCCCTGGGTTTGATCCTCACCACATATAAAAAATAAATAAAATGAAAGATACATTTTAAAAAAATACAAATTTGAAGCAATGCGTGTTTATTCCAAACATATGCTACTATTTAAATTAGCTTTTTAGAAATATATATATTTTTGTTTTGTTTTTGCAGTATAGTGGGGATTGAACCCAGGGCCTTATGCACACCAGACAAGTGCTCTACCACCAAACTAATATCCCAGCCCAAAAGTTTGAGACTTTCTTGCTAAGTGGCTCAGGCAGGCCCTGAACTTGTTATCCTCCTGCTTCAGCCACCATAGTTAGGATAATTTGACATGTACAACGATGCCAGACATGAGAAAAGTTATACTGTTTTTTTTAATTTATTTTTTAGTCATACATGACAGTAGAAAAAAATATGGAATGCTTCACGAATTTGCGTGTCATCCTTGTGCAGGGGCCATGCTAATCTTCTCTGTA